CATACTTGCTAAACTATAAGCAACCCTTATTGACAATCTAAAATGTCTCTTAAAATCAACATCATCTAATTTTTTAACAACATCTTCTACATATCTTTCCATCTTTGGTATTTTTCTTCTTTCTGGAGAACTATCTCTAGATTCGTCAGACATTGAATTTATACTACTAGTACTGGTAGAACTAGAGTCACTAAACGGATTTTCCAATAAAATCTATAACAAAGCAATAAACATATATACTTAGGGCTCCACCCAAAGGAAAAACATTTTTAATTACCGATAATACAAATTCATCTTCTACATCAGACGAGCAAGGATCGTTCATATTTATAACACTAACAATACAACTAACGAAAACAGTAAAAAAAATAATTTATTACTTTTATTTTAAAAACGATTTAAATTTTAAATAACTGCACCGACTGCACTGACTTTGACAACTGACAAGTGTCAATAAAGGAGTTCGCCGTAGACTGTTATCAGTCGTTCTTTTTTGACGTCATAGGGTTCCATACTCCAAGAACATTAAACACTTAAAACGAAAGCACTCATCGTGTTCTCGCGGCAGCGCTCGTCCAGATTCCGACGTCGTTCATCGGTGGTATAAATTGCAGGTGGAAACAGTTGCAGGTGGACAGGGTTGTCGGTTTTGCTGTGGTTGGCGATCTCCAATATAGCCGCCTGCCTTTAAAGCTATCAGCTTTAAATAGTTACTGGTTTGGGAGGATGCAGAGCTTAACAGCAGGACGATGAAAGGTACCTCTTGTAGCCTTTATATCGCTTCCAGTTTGATGCAAACAACGGGTAGCTAAAAATGCGCTGGATGCTAAACCATATGTTACCGTATTTAATTCATAAAACGCTAGGGGTTCGGTTGGATTAAAACACCATACTATTTTTTTAAATTTACGTTGATTTTCGTTTATTAGTATTTGCCCATACATTTTGGCAACGTCGGCTGATAATACGATGCTATGTTTTCGTATTGCTATCGAAAAAAGATCATTTTGTACTGTAGGGCCGACCATCACGACATTGTTTATTAAACAGCCAGAAGAAGTGTTTGCAGAACCGTCAAACACGATCCGAATTTGCGTCGTTTTACTTGAAGGTTTAAAAACGACGTGATAAGGTAGGAAGAAGTCATCGTAATCGTTTTCATCGACTGTTTTTGACAAGTATTCATTCATAAATCCAACGTATTGATCCCGCGATATATTATTTTTTAGCATTTTCCTTTCGGCAGAGTAAAATCTGTTTTTTGCTGTCTGGACAGAATCGCCTAAATCAGACAAACCGTTTTTGAAGGGAATTGTAACTATAAACCTACCTTCATCATTTCTGATTTAATTTTTTTGGAAGTGCTATTCGCAGAATATCTCTTCTTCGAAAGTATCGCAGCGATCTGATAAAAAGTCTAAGAATTTTTTTAAGTTGGGTTTTTCCCGATTTGGCTTTTTTATTTCCCAAGCTTGCCTACAGCTAAAATCTAATTTAGTATACTAAAAGTGTATCCCAATATTCAATAGGTTGGCCGAGGGCTTTAAGGGCCTCTAAAATACGATTAGCATTATCATGTAGGTGACTTAAAGAAAGGTACGATTCTTTTTGAATGACCGGTAAATTAAATAATTCCTTAATTTGGTTGTTTAGTAGTTTTTTCTAGGTTTTCTTATTTGTCATTCATACATGTTCAGGAAATGTAATTGACTTCACAAATGTCCAAAGATTCGATGAGATTAAAGGCTTCGCCCTTTAACGACATTCTCAGATAGTTTAATTTTTATGCTTTGGGCATGTGCGGGTTGTTGTCGATGATGGAAATGAAAGTTTCTTTAAAAAAGATCCAATTTTTATACGAGCCATCAAATGATGGTAGATTAATGTCCGGCAATTTGATATAGTTAAATTATTATTGTCATGTTTTTGTGAAACTAAACTAATATTTAAAGGAATGTTTGACGAAGTATTTTTGTGTGATTTGCTATAAACCGTTTGGCCTTACTAGTTATACTAAAATACAAATTTTCAAAAGCTTGTCTTTCCTTATCATCAATGTCTATTTCATCTTGTTGCTCAGAATATTAACGACATTTTTAATTTCAGTTTTCGTATTTTAGAATTTTTCATTTAATTGTAAAATGACCTCCAGACGAGATTCAAGATCGGCTAAGTCAGGTTCAGTCATGGTGTACGAATACAGGTGAAACGGTGCGCAGGTTTTATGACGTCAACATCGGTATTGCCACGGCCGCCTATATACTGCCAAGCCATTCCATGACTGTGTTTACATTTTGTAATGATTGTCAAGGGGTGCGTTCCACTAAGCGCTCAAAACGCTGAAAATACTCCTTCAGTCATTCAGGCGTTCCTCACGCCAAGCTTAGAACGATCCATCTTAAAAGGTGGGTCGAAGTGGACGTTAAGAAAGTTTTGGCGCAATTTTTAAAATTGTTTTGAAATTTTATATTCAAAACTCAAAGATGGCGGCAATAAAATACGTAAAAAATAATTTATATGATTCTGAAAGAGAAATTTTAGTTTAAGCTGTTGTTTCTGAAGCAGATGCTAAACGTGCGCATGCAGGTAATTATAATTATGTTATATAAATCTAAGAAAATTAATTATAATTCATATTCAACAGTCATTAATAAATTTTTTCTTATTCATTAATGACATAACCTAACTGAATAATTTTCATTTTAATTGAGAATAATCCTTACATGAACAATTGAGGGGCCTAGTATCAAAACTGGCAATATCCCACTTTCATAGTTTAGAGATATTTACGAATAACTACTGCTGCCTTATTATTTATGCTAGATAGTTGGAGATTATTGAAAACGGTAGTTTACTCGATTCTGAACAATAACTAATAGTTCTGTTACTTAGAACTGACAAGGTTTTTCCAAAATATAATACAAAAATATGGAGATTGCCGGTTTTGTTCCTAGAGGTAGGACATTGCCGGTTTTGATACCGAAATGTATAAATAGACCCGAGAAAAAAGGCAATGAAAGACGAAGTGAGTGCTAAACTAAAACTGTATTTTTCTTTAGGTAACAACATAGTAGAAAATAATATCAAAAATTAAACCAATACAGATGGAATCTCTGCAATGAATTCGCAAGAGGGTTCATCATCAACAAGTTGATTAGCTTCTCTGTCTTAGGTTTCCTCCGACTCTTCAGGATTTTCTGTGTGGCTCTCCAACATTTCCTCGCTGGGAACGATATCATTATAAAACATCAGTTCATCTAGATCTCTCCACTTTTTGCCAAAGTGTTTGGTCAGCAATTTGTTCACGTCATTTAACTTCAGACTGTTGACCTGAGGCAGGCCGGCGTTGATTAGATCTGGTTTAATCATGCCAATTGGTTTTCCTCTTTTTGTGAATCCCTTAAAGGTTTGCAAATCGCTCCTATAATGGACTTCACCTCTTATTAAAATATTTCCAGACTGGCATCTCTTCAAATAAAATCGTTTCGTATTTTTAAATTGGAAGTGCCATGATCCTGGGGGTTTCAGTACCTCTTTAACGCTTTTTTTCCAGTCGTAAACAGTACAGTCTGTACCTAAACGAATGGGAGTCGCAATTTTTGAAAAGATTACAATGTAGGTGTCAGGTTTGGTTATTACTTCCAGTTTTTTAATGTTCTTTTCGATGTGACCAAACACCCTGTCTGCTGGAAGAAAGGAATGCCCCACTACGGGAAAGATGACTTCCAAATTCTTAATATTTAACGGGGCATTATTTGCTAGCCATTTGGAGCACATCCCTATAAGAGGGCTATTCTTGTTTTGGCCGCTACATCCATCTGCCATAAGCCTAACCGTGGTATGGTGAGGGCCAAACTCAATTTTTTTCAGTCTATCATATACAGCTGATGAAACCTCATTGGAACTTTTTGCGAACTCATTTTCGGTCCAGTAGTACGAAAAAACATTTTCTGGATTAAGCTTGGATTTTGATGTACCTTCTACAATCGTAAAGTTGTAGAGGTACAACTGCCTTGAATAATAGGCTGTTTGGTCTGGCACCTTTGGTAGAACTAAGTTCTTCTCGCAATCGAAAGATATGGTTACCATATCATCTCTAGCTTCTTTAAGTAGATTGAAAAAAGCATCTGCTCTCAGTTTGTGAATTTTTTTGTCTGTTGAAAGCTTTTTCTTTTCTTCTTCATCTTCGCAACGTTTGATTCTTTCAGCCAATTCAAGGCACGTGGAACACACGTCAGTTCGCGGTGTTGTGAAACTCAAATTATACTTTGTGTTGAAAATTGTTCGAAAATACGACAATTTTACTTTTTCTTCTGGACTGCACTGCTGATCATACATGGTGTGCATTTTTTGTATCGATAAATCTGAAGGAAGGTATAGTCTTTTTGTACTGGAGCGGCAATAGTGTGATTCAATGCACTTGAAACTATTGATGAACTGTTGAACCGCCGCTTGTTTGTCTTCGTATTTAGGAGTTTTTCGATCTCCACCTCTTTTTTCTATTGGTGCTTGACCACTGGAAGTAAAACTCTTCATGACGTGGCTCACACGATGTTTTGTAATATCAAGTATGTTTAAAAAAGCCGACTGGCATACGGGAACGTTCGCTTTTGAGGAATAATTTCTCACAAAACATTTTACATGGGTAACTTTGGCTTCTCGTGTTGCATTTTTCGGACGGCGATGTTTGCACACATCAACAGAGCAATGCTTTAGAATGAACGAGTCTTGCAATAGCTTGTTTTTTGTCCCATAAAATGCTTCATGAAAGTCTTTAACTTCCTTCATGGTTAACGAAGAACACTGAAAAGCCTTCGTTTTGTGACCACATGTTGGATATTGTGGCAACTGTTTTGCAGAATATCTGCAAAGAAGACTAAACAATACAACTCTATTATCAGTATGAAAAGAAAGAAAATACCTGAGCTTCTTGCGAACATTACATTTCCATGTGACTGGATCACGTTTTCTTTTACTTGCCTTACCCGGCTCAGCAGGAGATGCATTCACTTCCATTATGTTCTCAGGTAAAACTCAACAATCAACACAAGATTTAACAGGATGAACAACCACAATGGACTAAACGAAAGCAACAAACATAATAGGTATGTCGCGATTCTGATTGGGTGGCATGGAGTTTGCCGATTTTGATTCTGAAAGTCATATGGAGATTGCCGGTTTTGATTCTGATGAGTAGTTTCCAAACTAAATTTATATGGGACAAAACCGTTTTTGTTACCAACTAGAAACATATTCCAATAGTGCACAACGAGACGAAAAAACTGCTATATGCAACACATTTTACTGAAATTTGGAGATTGCCGGTTTTGATACTAGGCCCCTCAATTTATTTTTTTTGTAGACTTATATTTTGCTTCAGAGCTTTTAAGAAGAACTATAAATCAAAATCCTCATGCAGCTTCCACATCTACTGCCTATGTTCAATATGACGATGATGAAGAAACTCCAGAAAGCTTTTGTGAAGACGAAATACCTATTAGTAATGAAGACACAGGTGAAACCAATTGTGAAACTGAAGAATCTGAAGGTATATTAGAGATATATCTAAATTCTATAATCATCATGTTTCTGATATTTATTATGCGACGATGCCTATTACATATGTGCTTTCTTCATACAGGTGGAGTTTCTTCATACAGATGGACTTCACCCGCTGTCTTATTGTTGTTGGAGTCTTATAGGTCCATGGAAGAAATCCGAAACAGAGGGAAAATGTCCCAAAAACAAATGTGGAAAAAAATATCCGAAGAATTTAATAAAAAAGGATACACTGTCACTGGACCACAATGCGATTCTAAGCTACGAATAGGATCAGATAGTTCATCAAGTGAGTTGATTACCTCAGATATTTTTATTGATAACTGAATTTATGTACAAATTGAATTTTGTTACAGAATCAAAAAAGACGCCAATAGCAACATTACTTGGAAAAAGATTAAAGCAGAAAGAGGAACATGAAGAAAATAAAAACAAAAGGCAAAAAGAACGAATGGAAATGGATGCGAAATTTCTTAAAGTATTGGAAAAACTTGCTGAAAAATAATTATCAAAGTGCTAGATATAAAAAAAAAATTTAAGCATGACAATTTATAACAATAATATTTTTTATTACTGTAACGGTTATAACCGTTTTCGTTATTTTGACACCAACATCTCTACACAAATGTCATTTGTCGTTTATGCCTTATGTCAAAACGGTAATTCATTTCGATTTATAAATTATAATTTTTAATATGCGTAATAAATGAAAATCTACGAATTATTAAGCTTTTCACCAATGAGTTTAATCAAGAGTGTCAGTAATATGTAATTGTTTCAGCAATTATTGATTGTTGTAAAAACATAACGATGAAAAACTATCAACATTAGTTATATTGATATTGTTACAATATGATAGTTTACTTACCTTGCTCAACATAATTTTTGTATTCTTGAAAAACAAACGCACCACAAAACAAGAAATTTAGATCAATGAAGATAGAAGATAAACCGCAGAACACAAATCGTAATACACATTACACATCAAATAAACAAAAACAAAACAAACGTCAAATTCAAAATTTTTAAAAGTGAGGTTAGGATCAATGGTGTGGTAGTGGCTCCAGTTTTTAAAAACGACGGCGTAATTAGAGTTACGGTGCAAGCTGCAAAACCAGTACAGCACGTACAGGGGCACAAATTATCGCTTCTCTGGTTAATTTGAATCCATTTTGTGAGACTTTTTAATTAGAGGCATATAGCAAAAACGTAATAGATTGCTGAGCGGCGTAACAGCGTAATAACTAATTGCCTTTAGTAATAGATATGTTACGAACGTAAAAGCGCTGGCAACGCTGAATGGACACCTTAACGGTAGAAAGAATATTGAATGATGTCATCAAAACTAAAACAATACCGTCTCACGCACTCGTTTAGAGTTTTTATCGGGTTCTCGCGGCAGCGCTCGTCCAGATTCCGACGTCGTTCATCGGTGGTATAAATGCAGGTGGACACAGTCGCAGGTGGACAGGCTTGTCGGTTTTGCTGTGATTGGCGATTTCCAACATAGCCGCCTATCGAGCAAGTTGAATTATTGAATTTTAATTATCTTTTATCTTGGACATCCGATGTACTAATTGTCTTTAATATTTTTAATGACCGTCTGATTTTAAAAAGCCTGGCTGTATATAGATGATTCTGTAGAAGTTATATCGAAGGAGTTCGTTTAGAAGAATAGAAACTTAGAAGTTTAGTTCCAGCTACAGAAGTTGATGTCAAGTATATCAAAAGGTTTAGTTCGAGTTATCTAAGAAATTTATGAGATTTAAGTTTACCTAGGATGATTTATACTTAAAGAGTTGGTGATATCCGTAGTATCTCATATGATTCCTCTAGAAGAAGGCCTCTTCAGTCACTCCTAAAATACTACCTGTCCTTAATAAATCTTTTTTTTTAATTTGAATAAGTACGTCTCTGTGAATTAGAATTTGTCGCTGCTTTATCTGAAACCTTATTTAATTATATCTTAATGGTTAGTGATGTTCTATATTTTCATCACTAATCGATTGTCAAGTTTAGAAAGTTTTAAATATAGTGGGGCTTAACATTCTTTTTCAAAGTAATACGAGTTATTTAATGACCTGACCCACTCCCCAAAATCATATAGCTTAAAACACCATAAAAATAGATAAAATAACAAGATCATATCGATATCTTAGAGCACAAATAAGCTATGTCCGTTTCTCACTACTTTTGGAAAACTCAAAGTAAAGTTTTGATACGTGCATAACTCTAGTAATGCAGCTCAATGTCTTTTGATATTTACTAATTTTATGGTTTGTTACCTTTGTAAAAATAATATAAAAAAAACTTTTCTAATGAATAAACAATTTTTTGATTTATTCATGGTATTATAATACATTATAAGGACATAGCACCTTTGAGCTGGACATCAGGTGTTCAAACTGGACATGGGACACAATTTAGTATTTATTATTTAACTTACTAAACTTCATTACAAAACAAAAAATGATTGTTGCTTTGGATTCCAAGGTTAACAAAAAAAAATAGCTAGGTATATAATTATTTATTTAAAAAAAGTTAAAATACTTCCATTTTTTAATTAAATATCAATTTCATCTACATCATTTTCGATTTCCTGATCATGACGCCACACTGCGACGTCTCGAATACCTCTGGAGGATGGTAGGTTATTATAAAATGCTGCGTACTCTTGGGGTATAACACCTTGCTTGAGTAAGCTAATCAAATCTCTTTTTTTTGGTGATAGAGATTTCGTGATGGTTTTTATATTTGCTTTCAAGAATTATGTTTTCCCAATTAATTTCGGAGGGGTTGACTTCAAAAAATTTGAACAAAACTAACCATAATTAATATATGCGTTAAAAACTTACCTTTAGAAAACATGCTCGAGCTATGTTTGTCAATCGTCTTCATCCGATTACAAAGCTCTACTATTAATTTGCCACGATTCATTTTAAACGAGTTTGTAAAAATAATGACTTAATTAAACTTAAGTTCAACAATTGAATTACTTAAGTATTGTATGTAGTTAAAACTTAACAAAAACATTGAACATAATGTGACAATTTACACTTTTATAACCTCCACTGATTCATAAAACGAAGTGCACAGAAGAACTATGTCCGGACATAGCACGAAATCCCTCTTAGAGTAATCAAGTGTGGGACATGGTACATTTGTGCATTTTTCTATCATTCACCATAGAACATAGTACATTTACTTTTTTTGTTATTTAACCAATTTTAGATTTTTGTTTGACATAGAACAAGAGTGCATTTGATACTGTTTCCTGTCACCAAACTAGTGTTGCCATTATCTTAAAACTAAAAAAAAAATGGACATAGCACATTTGTGCTGTAAGGTATTGATATTACATTACTCAAATGAAAATTTTATTAAAAAAATACATTATATAATATAATAGTTAATAAAGTTTAATAAGGAAATAAATTAATTGAAGTTGTCAGAATTATTATAAAACAATTTAATAATATTTACAATTTTCTTTAGTTCTCTGATTATTTAGTATGAACAAATTTCCTAGAAAATTAGAAATTTTCAAGTATACAAAAAATTATTGGTTTAGTTAAAATTTTCGAATTTGTTGGATTTGTCATCATTTGTTATTATCGATTAGTTTCGCAAGGAATCCATTATAATATCTCTTTTCAGAACTCCTGCGGTTCGCCTTACTTCACGCTGATAGTTTCCATTATTTTCTTGATGATTTTCATGTAATAACAGTTAATTCGTCTTCTCGTAAAATGCAAATATTATGGATTACACAGCATGCAACAATGTACTCAGCCATCAAATCTACTCTTGTCATTGGTAGACAATGTAATAAACTTTTCATTTGTCCTTTTAATAACCCGATGCATCTCTCAACAGTCACTCGCGCAGCTGAATGACGATAATTAAATCTTTTTTGCTTCTCACTTAAATGTCCATTATCTCGATAAGGTGTGAGTAGATGCTGATGTATTTCATACGCAGCATCACCTAGAATATGACTATTTTCTGGGAATTTTTCATCATCATTTATGTAATTTGCAACTTTTGACAAACGAAAAACTCTCTGATCATGAACAGAGCCAGGATGTCCGACATAACAATGAGTTATCAGAGTTTTGTGATCACATACGAGCTGAAACAAATTTTTACGCAATTAAAATTAATTTTTAAACCAACATTAATAACATGAATTAACTCCTACTAACTCAAAGTTCGTTTTTTAAAAAAATACTTTTATTACTTAATACAACAATTATACTTTTTATTACAACTTAACAATATGGAATCTAGCAACTGACTGACTACTCTAAAAGAAAATAAAAACGTCTAACAATAAAAAAATGCAAAATAAGATAAAAATGAATATATCAGAACAAAGAGTTTTACAATGTCAGCATTCTTCCATAAGGGCCATGTATAGGAGTCGACATAATTCCTCCCCCCTGAGTTTCAACTTCTGAAGTTAGGATGAAGGAAGTTGAACAGCTGTCGGATCTATTGGAGACTGGGTCAATTTCTTATGTCTGCATATTTTGGGCATCAGTTTCTTGTATACGAAGAACATCACCAGGAATACAAGAGTCCCGTAAATTATTAAGGTCCAAAGACTGGGAACCATCAATACCTTCTCAAATGATAACTTGGGTTGGTTATGAGTAATTTGTGACTTTATGGCTTGTAGATCATCTAGTTCAATATTTTCTAAGTGAAAATTAAAATTGCTTGAAGTGGATTGGATTGTGCTATTATCCAAATCTAGGATTAACACTGGTTGGCCAAAAGTTGTTGATGATTTCTGGTTACTTATAGTCCCCATATGTGTGGTTAATTGACATCCCTTTGGAATTTCTACTAAATAAGTCCCAGTGGTGAAATATTTCGTTTCTTCGTTTGATGGACATTTAAGATATGCTGTGTCTTGATAAGGCACAGTGTATATCCAATGATTAGAGTTGGCTAATTGCTTTAATAGTGGCTTTGATAGGCGAATTGACGTTTTTTCACAGGTGGAAGTAATTTTCATTTCCAACAATTGTATTTCACAGGGGCCGTCTTCTTCAATTTCAAGCAGATCAATCCTCGGGCAGACAAATTGCCGAGGGATTATTTCTGTACATGGATTGCTCGTGAAAGCGAATTTGGATTTGTTTTTAACCAAAAATTTCTTTCTAGGTATTATGACCTTAAACTGACTCTTTTCCCAAATAGGTACCGCGAATAAATGATATAAATTAAAATTTTCAGATTGAACGACAGGGATTTTTAAAATAAATGTTATTTTATTATTAAAAATAAAACAGTCAATTTTTATTAATTTTTCGAATAACAACACATTATTTAAATTAATTTCCAGAGGAAGTTCATTTTTGTTTAAGTATTTTTCTAATAATTTTAATTGATTATATAAATCGATTGTTTTGATTATACTAGGGTGCATAACTTGAATTTTAGCAAAGGAAATTGAATTTTCTATATCCTGTAGAATAGAATTAGTGATTTCAAAAA